AAAATAACTATTGATGACATTTGTGGTTTTAAGCTGAACCAAAGACCAATCCCATGTGGATGGTACTTTAGTAATTTGTTTTTCAATCAGTGCGGAACGGGAATTTAATATTGTTTCAACAATATTGAGGGAAATCACTCCTAATTTTGTGCCTAAGAATTAAAAAAATTATCTCATACTGGTTTAGCCATAACTCCTGTCAGAATCCTTTTGAGGGTATCCAAAGGGATGCTTGCATGTCAATGTACACTCCCCTTCTCTTTGCCTAGCTTCCTTTACTTATTTTTTAGTTATGCATGTATATTTTGTCTAGATATAAAAAGTATGTATCTTTTGCATGTTAAGTTTCTGGAAACCGAATGTCTTGTCTTTTAGTTTAAAAGCATGAAAGCAGCTCAGGGTTTTTTGCGATTTCCTCTTATCAGAAGTTCTGGCTTTCAAGGATGTACGCCCTCTTGCAATTCTGCTTAGGAAGATATTTTATTATATTTATGTGAAAAAAAACAATTCATGATAGTTTTATAGCCATTGCAATTTGATTTGGCAGTTAGATGAACCTTACCCTTGGTCTATTCGGAATATATATAGACTTTCTTATTTGAAAAAGCTACTTTATATTTTTCTTTTCTTATGGGGCTATTGATGATGTTTGTGGTTACCTTAGTATATCTTAGTTTTTCGCCATCAACGACTTGGAGGATGCACGACAACCTGAAACAAAAGCGATAATGCGGTGGTTGAGAAGGATACAGTTTATGGCGTCTGCCAGTTTGCATGGGGTATTTCCTTCTTGCCTCGTATTTCTTTAAATTCTGTCCATAGTATGTTAATCTGGTGTGATCATTTATCATTGAAAAAAAAATGTTAAAGAAAAAAGTTGAATGTTCATACTGCAGTTGTTCCAAATAGATTACCATTAAAAAAAACTTGTATGTTTATCTCTACATCGATCTATAGATATTGAGTAAAATTCAAAAGTTTTACCTATATATCTCAGTTGATCCAGGGTGATAAATTTTGTGAAGAGTTTGAAAAAGGAGTACATGTTCAATTCTCAGTTGATCTAGGAATATTGATTAAACTTGGAGCATAAATTATATCTTGAATTGATAAATCTGTATAAGGTTTATGAGATTCACTTGTTGCTTTATGTTTAACAAGAGACATTTGAAAAATAACTAGGTAAAAACCTTCTGGATAAGAAAAGGAAGATAAAAAAATTGCTCTTTGTTTAAAATTTTATTAGGAAGTCTCAAATCTGTCATCTCCATTACCCCAGTAGACCCTGTCAAATTGGCATATTGTGAAATATTTAGGTATGTATTTATTGCATGCTTTTATGTTGGCTTGTCTTTGATTTTCAAAGTATTAAGATTTTAATCATTTTATTTAATTAGGTGTAAATTAATGCATCACCTTGTAAGAGTTGATAAGTGCAGATTGTTGGTTCTTTAGAAGAAAGATCAACAATAAGTAGCAAGTAGAACATTAAATTTCCAGCCTTCACTCTCTGCGTTGATACTGAACTTCTTACAAGTAAACCATGTCCAATATCTCCTGACATTTCACTCTCTTTCATTCTATGTTGTGCATGCCTTCCCTTGCAAGCCTATTCTCTTGATACCAATTATGCCAATCGAACTCTTTATTTTCCATTTATTTTGTCATTTGTTAATTTTATTAATTTTTATAAATATGGACCTTATTGAAATCAATTGAATAATGACTTAACTCTTGTTTTCTACTGAACTCAATATTTTGTGACACATATTCATATCCGTCAAAGAGGGGATGATGCTGCTTATCAAAACATTATCTGTTGCTTGCTGGTTGGTAGCCTATAGTTGCTGTTTGATTTATGATGTGTCTTTCCTTGATTTTGCAGGGTGCTCTTGTGGCAAATTATCCCTGGGATGGCACTCAAGATAAAAGGTATGGAGTAGTGTTTTTTAAACATCCTTTACTGTTAGATATACTCCAGTCTCCGATCACTTCGTGTATGCTTAGAGAACCAGAATGCCATATAACGTATGTGTTTAATTTCTGAGAACCAAGTAGACATCTAGAAACGAGTATTACTTTTATCCTACAAAGTCTACGTTATATTCTATCATCGTATATTAGAATGAGTTGATCTCATTGATAATTTGTTATTTTGAGCCCTTTCGGTACTTGTCTGAGGCTATCAAGTAGCCATCATATATGTGCTTTTAGTAATTATCAAAGCCTTGAATTTCCCAATGATGTTCTGTTATTGCTCTTGGAAGTGTGTATCTTTAATTTTTAACCAAATAAAGAGCTCTTTTTTATTGTCTGCCATTTATCTTACTTCCTCCTCTCCCCTAGCTGATATCATGACCAAGATTCTTCCATCACCTCAGTTCAATGCTTTGAAGTCCAAGCTTGGCATGTTCTCTCCATCCCAAGCTTGAGGGGGGATGTGAAATATGGCACTACATGTTGCTTACTATGGACTAGCACACAGGGGATTTATTCTCACTCAACAACCTCACAAATACAACAACACATTACCACACATATCACTATAGGAATAGGACAAATTGTAATGTGTATCATGGCCTTAGTCCAATTCCCCTCGATGATTCTTCAACTTGCTTTCTTGTTAATCCTTTCGTCAAAGGATCCTCCAAGTTCTTTTTGGACTTCACATAGTCCAATGCAATTACTCCATTCTTGAGAAATTGCCTCACAACTTTGTGTCTCATACGGATATGTCTCTTCTTTCCATTGTAGTTTTTTTTTTTTTTTTGCAACTCCAATAGCCGCTTGTGAATCACAATGCATGGACACCGGTGATGAAGACTTCCCCCACAAGGAATGTCGGCTAATAAACCTCTTAGCCACTCCGCTTCATGACCTGCCAACTCAAAAGCAATAAATTCAGACTCCATGGTGGAGCGAGCTAGACATGGTTGTTTTGAGGACTTCCATGATATAGCTCCTCCACCTAAAATAAAAACATAACCACTAGTAGACATCACTTCATCATTATCGGTAATCCAATTTGCATCACAATAGCCTTCTAAGACATTAGGAAAGCGATTAAAATGCAAGCATACCTCCATAGTACCTTTAAGGTACCTTAGTAATCGATGAAGAGCAACCCAATGTTCCTTGCTTGGATTATGAGTGTATCTACTAAGTCTACTAACGGCACATGCAATGTCGGGTCTTGTGCAATTCATCAAGAACAACACACTACCAATTATCCTTGCATATTTCTCTTGAGAAACACTTGAATCCTTATTTTTCACAAGCTTCACGGTGGGATCATATGGTACCTTGCTAGGCAACACATCAAAAGAGTCAAACTTTTTAAGTATCTTTTCTACATAGTGAGATGACTCATGGAAAAACCGTTCTTCGTTGTCCTTAGACGAATTCCAAGAATAACATCGGCTTATCCTAGATCCTTCATTTCAAACTTAGTAGAAAGCATTGCCTTAGCATCATTCACAACATCAATGTTAGTACCAACAATAAGCATATCATCAACATATAAGCATATTATAACACAAGATGATACACACTCTTTAGAGTACAAACAAGAATCCGAGGAATTGGCAACATAACCACAACTCCTAAGAGTACTATCAAACTTTTCATACCATTACTTAGGAGCTTGCTTAAGACCATACAAGACTTTCTAAGCTTACACACCTTGTGTTCTTGCCCTTTCACCACAAAACCTTCCTGTTGAGACATATAGATTTCGTCCCCAAGGTCCCCATTAAGGAAAGCCGTTTTGACATCCATTTGGTGAACAACTAAGTCATGAATAGTCGCTAGTGCTATGAGTGTTCATGGTGGCAATCTTAGTCACGGGTGAGTAGGTGTCAAAGAAATATATACCTTCCTTTTGGGTGAAACCTCTAATCACAAGTCTAGCTTTGAACTTATCTATGGTCCCATCCGGTCTAAGTTTCTTCTTGAAAATCCACTTACTACCTATAGGTTTAGTCCCGGCTCCATTTCTTCTCTTTCTCACAACAACATACAAATGAGTCATTAGGACAGTACAATTTATAATGGACAAGAGGAGATTTAAATATGTGACCTATTGTACAAGCTCGTTTTGTCCCCATTTAAATAACATTATAGTTTCAAGCAAGAATTGAAATCATTACTTTGGGAAATGATTTGGTTCAAGGCCTCATAACTTTTTACCTACAAATCTTTTGTAGCTGATTCAACTTTAATTACATGGTTCCTTGTTTCGAGAGCTTCAACTTGATATATTACACGTCCAATTATGTTGGGAAATGAATGAGACTAACATTTGAATTGCATGTGGCCCTACTAAGGCATTAGCCTCAATATGGGGCTTATTTTTAGAGGAAGTATTGAGATTTTGAGGCTTCCACAACCCACCTCTCCCCACCTCTCCCCTTATACTACCTCCGTTATATATAATAGCAACCATTGGACGTAAAGTGTGAGTGAGAGATGTCCAATCGTTGCACTTAATATAACCGGAGGTAGTAGTAATTTTGAACCCCAAGACCTCCCCCCGGTAATTGTAGCAACTTTGAACCCAACTTTAAATGATCGAAAGGTGTACAAGAGAGAGCTGTCCTTTTAGAGAAATAAAGTACTCCGTAGATATTAGGTGGCTTTAGATAGAGAAGAGCTTGAACCTATCTATATAAATTTACAAAGAGAGAGCTTTCCTTTTAGAGAAATAAAGTAGATAATAGGCGGCTTTAGATAGAGAAGAGCTTGAACCTATTTATATAAATTTCATCTTTTTGCAAACAAAGTTGTAATAAAGGCACATGAATAAAGTATTATCTTATTTTCAGTTTATTTCTTATTTAAGTATACTGATTATGTTTTTTTTTTTTTTTTGCTCATTTCTCTGTGGATTGTTTTGTGGTGAATGACAGTGGTGAGGAGAGATCTGCAATTTTCTGGCTATAGTAGTGATGAAAAGAGAGAAATTGGCAACGGAAAAGGAGATAAAAAGTTGGTCAAAGCAGTTGACATAATTAGCTACATTGATAAAAATAAGTACAAAGTTGGTCAAAGCAGTTGACATAATTAGCTACATTGATAAAAAATAAGTAGCATATCCATCTTTATGATAATCCTGTTGCTTAACATAACATAAAATAGGATAAGATAAGAGGAACACATTCATCAACACCACAGATATCCTAGTTTGTAGTAATACTATTACACCCATATTGGTTTGGGTAACTCCTCATACAAGAGGTCATCACCATCACCAGCACCAGCGAGGTTCACAACATTCATGGAAAACACGCCACTTAATCTTCGTGGTACACACATTCATGGAAAACACGCCACTTAATATTCGGGGTCACTGTGTATACGGAATCCAGATCTGAGAACATTGAAAACACAATAAGTAACATTACCACATGCACACTAAAATGTATACTTCACTTGCTACACTTTCCATGGAGATAGATAGTAAAGGCAAAAGGACTATTGAACTGACCAGACAGCCTTTCAGCTTCATCTGGTGTAAGCTTTGCATAGAAGTTCAACGAGTTATATTGTGGACTCATCTTGAACTCAGGGCTGCAACAAGATTTCAACCCACACACACACACACATATTTTAGGATAAAATAAATATATTTTAGGATAAAATTGTTTAGCTTTTTTATTTTCAAAAAAACTTATCATGCTTCACACACACACACACACACACACACACACACATATATATAAGAGTATACAGACGATTATTAAAAGGACGGATATACCAGCCAGCATTTCTCAAGATTTGACAGAACAAAATCATCATATCTTCACCAGATCCACGATGCTTTCTGACGTCTTGCAAATCCACAAGGACAACGTACTGTAGTTTAAAAAGTATTGAGTGTCATTCCCTTTTATCATATAAACAATAACTGAAAGAAGATGAGTGCAAAAAAAAAACCTCTTATCCAGGAAGCTCAAGATATTCTTCATATTTTTCTGTCCAAAAAAAAAATATAAAAATCAAAAACCAGATTATGAACAATTATGATAGGTACATTTATGCAAAGGAAATGGCTGTACTATAATGAACATAATAAAGTAAGACTTGCCATCTTCGGAGTCAGAAGATATCTCCAGCTTTGCCTTCTTAGCCGCTGAAACCAATCACATCAAAAAGTCAAGCTATAAAAAATGCAGTAATGTAATAACCATGATAGGAACATTTATGTAAGGAAAATGGTTGTACTATAATGAACATAAAAAAGTAAGACTTGCCATCTTCGGGAACAGGAGCTATCTCCTTCAGCTTCGTCTTCTTAGGCGCTGAAACCAAGCAAACACATCAAAAAGTCGAGCTATTAATAATGCAGTATTAACCATGATAGGAACATTTATGTAAAGGAAATGGTTGTACTATAATGAACATAACAAAGTAAGACTTTCCATCTTCGGGGTCAGGAGCTATCTCCTCCAGCTTCGCCTTCTTAGCCGCTGAAACCAATCATATCAAAAAGTCAAGCTATGTAAAATGCAGTAATAACCATGATAGGGATATTAATGTAATTGAAATGGTTGTACTGTAATGAACATAGCAAAGTAAGACTTGCCACCTTGGGGGTTGTCAAAAAGTCAAGCTAGGTGTATACTTATATAGTTTGACCTTGAGTTACAAAGTTAGACAAATACTCATCAAACAAACAATCACTAAATTTTTAGGTTAAAGAGATATTACATAAATCCATGGGTTGAGGAGAGATCAAAAAAATCTTTGGGTAGAACAAATAAATATAGTTGCATCTTAATAAGCCTTAAACAATTTGTAAACAATAAAGAAACATTAAATTTCAGTAATGTCTTTAGGGTTGATCATGTCCTAAGCCATTTAGGGCTTATTCACGGTAGGAGTTGTCTCTCATTGTCAAATATTTTGAGCATTCCAAATAGCCAATAGCATTATCAACTCTATGAGACTCCTCCTCGCTTAAATTGAACATCACATGCTACAAACAGGAAAATAAATCAGGCACTTTTCAACACCACAAATTCTCCCTAAACCAGCTGAAATCCCAGAATCAAAAGTCATACTTGACATATCAATTAAGCAAGAACATGAAGCCAAGTCCAAATATCCAATACTCAAATGCGTACAATTTCATCCCGGATAAAAAAATTATTCTAATTTTTTGCAGGCTTTGAATGTTATAGTTATGGCACAAGTATAACTAGTAGCAAGGCATAGGCAATCCATACAATAAATTTTTCCAACTAAAAACAAAAGCAAAATTAAGGTAAAAAAAGATTAGATTAGAATACATACGAGGAGCATCTTTGACGTCAGGAGAACGCATTTCTTAATGTCAACTGAACAGAAAGAACAAATGTCAAAGGTCAAATATTATATTTATATAGATGAAAATACTGTGAATCAAATGACATAAAAACAATTGATCAAGCCAAATGAACCATCAATGCAGCATGTACGAATTAATCTATTAAATAATTGGAAATAGAGGTGGTTATCGGGCGGGTCAAGTGAGGGTCGGATCAAATGCGGGTGCGGGTCATTGATGGGCCATGAAAGGTTTATTGGCTACAAATTACAATTATACCAACGGTAGATACTTCACATTGTCAGCAAACTATGAGTCTACACAACACAACAAGAAAATATCACCATTTTATCTGAATGAATGAATTATTCCGCCATTCATCACTAACATCATCCAACTATACTTTTGCATGAATTTGTTGATTTCTAACCAAAATTTTAAAAAAAAATTAATAAATTCACCAACCAATTCCTAATTAAATTTTGTATCGCAACTTTACTAGATAGTTATCAAGCCCCAGTAGCTAACACAACATCAGCAGAATCAAAATCCAATCAAAACAAATAATATCAAACAAAACCCAAATTTTAAAACTCAACCATATCAACAAATTGTTTATTATTATCTTGACATTAGAAGAAAACCCTAACCTCGAAGATGAACATAAAAAAGGGATGCGAACTAGAGAAGAGAAGAGAAACCCTAGAATGATAGATAAATAATCTAGTAACAAAGTAGAGAAGAGAAGACCTTACTTACTCAATCTTACCTGTAATATGGGCGGCGCGGCGGTGGAGAACGCGTTGGCACTCAACCGGATCTCAATTCTCAATTCTCAATTCTCAATTCAGGAGTTTCTGGAAGAAAGAGGAACGATATGATATGAATATACACAACTTTTATAAAGAACATGTTTGAGGTTTGGACCAAAACTCAACTATATGTATAAAGCGATTAAAGCCCAATCCAAACCCAAATCCAAACCCAAACCCATACCCAATTGGATGACTATTTAGTAAAAACTTTAGGAAGAATTAGCCTTATTACCACAAACTTTGCTATGAAGCAACACAAATTTTGAACTGTAAATTTGTTTATATATTTGTTTAGCCTTAATATACATTTTAAAATTATGACTTAGTTATCTTATTATTAAATTTGTTATTCATAATCATTTGATACATTAATTTTTTTTATTTAGAAAATAACACAAATTATTACATAGCATGATGGTAAAACACATAACTCTTGAATTAAATGTTGCGTGTTCAAATCTCATAGGGAAATTTGTATTATAAGTATATGACATGCATGCAATAATAACAAATGAAAACTTTATTATGAACGCTTTTTAATATATAAATATAGATAAGTATAGATAGGAGGAAGTAATAAATTGGAATTCAAAAAAGAAAAAGTGATTTTCACCTAATTAAGAAGCACATACACCTCTCCATTCTCCAAGGTCTAACATGGCGTATGTCCGTATCCCGATAAACCTCGGACGCACGTACCACATTGATGCAATAATAGACTTTGCTCATTGCGTCACTGGTATAATCCATAAACCTAGTGTGGCAGGGCGAGTTTTATCTTTCACATTCCATCTTTATCCCAACAATGAATCTAAATTTCATCCACATCCCCGCCCCACTCGATCAACATAAATATATCATATTTACATTTAGGAAAATTTGCGAGAAAGGACCTTTTATAGTGACATGTTTGTGAGAAATGACCTTTTATAAAAATTGTTGTGAAATAGGACCTTGATCCAAAAAATTTTTGTGAAGAAGGCCTTTGCTCGGAAAGTGGCCGTTGACTGCCACTTTCCGGCGTTGACCACCAGCCCACCACGGCCGGTAGTCGAAAAACACCCCCCACGATCGCCGGAAAGTTAAAAAATTAAATGAAAAATAAAAAATTTAAAAATTAATTAAAAATAAAAAAAAATTTTAAAAATCTGAAAATTTTAAAAAAATATGAAAAAAAAAATCTGAAAATATAACAAAATAATCTAAAAAATTAAAGAAAAATATTTGAAAAATTAAAAAAAAATTGAAAATAAAAAAAAATCTGAAAAAATAAAAAAAGTCTGAAAAATTAAAAAAAAAAACTGAAAAAATAAAAAAAATCTGAAAAATTAAAAAAAAATCTGAAAAAATAAAAAAAAAATAGAAAAATAAAAATAATAATAAATCTGAAAAAAAAACCCAAAACCATCCGACGAACCACCCTCCCTTAACCTACGGCTGGCGCCAACACCCACTTCCCGGCGCCGGAGAATAAATTTTTTAGTTTTTCTTTTTTAATTTTCAGATTTTTTTTTTATTTTTCAGAATTTATTTTTATTTTCAGATTTTTTTTTAACTTTTTTGGATTTTTTAAATTTTTTAGATTTTTTTTTTAATTTTTCAGATTTTTAAAATTTCAAATTTTTTTTTAACTTTTCTATTTATTTTTTCAGATTTTTTTTTTCAGATTTTTAAAAAAAAATTCTGATTTTTTTTTTAATTTTTTAATTAATTTTTAAATTTTTTTTTTAACTTTCCGGCGACCATGGGGGTGTTTTCTGACTGCCGGCGGGGGTGGGCTGGTGGTCAACGCCTGAAAGTGGCAGTCAACGGCCACTTTCCGAGCAAAGGTCCTTCTTCACAAAAAAATTTTGGATCAAGGTCCTATTTCACAACAATTTTTAAAAAAGGTCCTTTCTCACAAATATGTCACTATAAAAGGTCCTTTCTCGCAAATTTTCCTTACTTTTACTGTATTTTCTATTGACTTGTTGCAATATCCTTTACTTTTTATACGACATTTTTTGTACTCATTGTACTAATAGCTGTTTTTTTTATAACTTACTGCCTATTCGGCATTGGCGTGGTTTTCTATTTTTTGTTATTAAAAATCTTGTAAAATATATCAAATAAAGAATAAAAAATTACTTAAACCTATTTAAACCATTATAATTTTGATAACTAACAACTGAACGGTCCAAACAATTTTTTCTGGTTTCCTCTTTTTGGTCCTTTGTCTTAAAGAAATTGATAAAAAAAAAAAAAAAAAGATGATGTGACAAACGGGCCCTAAAGGTTTTCATTTTTTGTTGTTGGCTAATGAATTAAAAGTTATACCTCTTGTGCATGATGTCTGTTGCTAGCACATACTTGGAAAATATAAGTCGAATTCCATTGAGAGATAATATCTACCAAGCTTGAAGAGCTTGTTTTAAGCCATAAATGGCTTTCTTCAATTTGCAAACATAAGAAGGAAATTTAGGATCAACGAACCCGGGTGGTTGTGCTACATACACTTCTTGTAGTGTACCTAGTAAGAATGCATCATTGATGTCGTAACAAAGTGACAATTGTTGAGATACTGCAAGGCTAAGAAGAGTGTGAATGGTAGTCGGTCTTACACCCGGGCTAAAGGTCTTCGTATAGTCAATATCAGGACGTTATTGAAAACCTCTGGCTATTAATTGAGCCTTGTTGAAAACATGAGTTAAAAGGTGTTAATGATATTATTGCAGAGACTGGCTTGTTGGGGGCAAAACCTGCAGATTTTCCAATGGAGCAGAATCACAAGTTAGCTTTGGCAGAAGGGAAAGATTTTTTAGATGGTGAAAAGTATAAACGGTTGATTGGTGGATTGATATAATTAGCAGTTACTAGGCCGGATTTGGCTTATTCGGTACATATTTTGTCACAATTATGCAGTCACCGAAGGAAGAGCATTGGGAGGCGGCTTGACAAGGTTTAACTACTAATAACATACTTCTAGAAACTACATTTATCATCTCATCTAGAAGCAACCTCCCCCATATCAAGCATCCTCCCTAAGCAACCTCCCCCATATCGGCAAAGCAAAAATTCAACCTTGCATTAATTCTAGTAGTTGTAATAGTAGATGAATTAAGGCTATAAATAGCCATTGATGTAAACCGTGAATGCTCAAGCCTTTGATAAGAAATACAATTAAACACTTTGAGTGTTCTTAGATAGAGTGTTATCTCCCTAACCCTTGGTGGTGTCACTGTATCTAAGGTTCCCTCTCAATTGTTCTTAGTGGTGTTTGTGTATCTAGGAATAAGTAGAGCTGTATCGTCGGAGTAGCCGCCCGACGTGGTGAATTGGCTAATTCTATCCGACCCCTACCTAGTACGGTGTCAAATTGGTACCAGAGCCAAGGTTTTGATTACCTTTCACCCTTTTCTACCGACCTCCATTGAAGCCGTATTGTTGCCGAGACCAACGTTGCGTCCATACCCATGGTCGTAGTTTTTAATTAACAAAACACCAATTAAAAACCACCCAAACCAACCACCATTATCCTGCCACCGACCACCGCAAATAACCCACCATCCTCCACCCATCTCTGCCTCACCATATATCCAAAAAAAAAACCTAGCCGTAAGTCCACCGCATCACCACCATATCAACCATAACACCAAAATAACCTTGAAGCCAGATGCTTATTGATTAAATTGCTTCAATTCACCTCTATTCTTGCCTTGTTGAGTTCTTGGTATGCTCTGTATCACTTTCTCTCTCTTAAAATCATTCAACTCCTACCGTATAAATTCTCCAGTTAATGGTTTACTTGATAAATTAAAGGGTTGACTTCTTTGGTCTTAGTGGGCATTAATACTTGTACTACACTATATTTGCTAAAAAAAAAAGGAGGGGACGTGTGTAGCTGTACTCCTGTACAATAGCAAGTTAGCAGCCCACTGTTAGCACTTATTACTTTATTAGTACTTGCACTATTAAGTCTAAAAAAAAAAAAAAGGAGAAGAGCCGTGTGTACAGCAGAAAAGGTGTAAGGATTTTCCTACCTTAATCTTTTCACTTTTCACTTATTACTTAATGTTACTACTGCATTAGATACTTAAACTTGTATTTATAATTATGGCTTGTTGTCTATTTATATATTAAAAAAAAAAAGGAAAAAAAAAGTGAGATTAAAAAAAAATAGTGAGATTAAAAAAAATTAAAAAAAAAAAGTGAGAGTACATATCTAAGGTTTCATTTCAGCTTAACAAGATGCCGCTAAGAGCACGTCGCGGAGGAAATCATCAACGTCCTATTTATGACACTATTATACTGTAGCTGATATGCAACGAGAGATACAAAGACTTCAACTACGTCTTGCCCGTTACGAAGCTGCAACTAACCCTTCCCAGTTCCCACCGATCAGAAGAAGAGCACTCTGATGGTGCAGACGAAGATTTTAATCCCTTTCACCAACCCGAGGGTGAATCATCAAGTGGAGAGACTTCTTATACCCAGCGAAATCGTCATCGACACCAACAAAAAGAGTTTGGAATCAAAGTTGAGATTCCATATTTTGAAGGAGGTGTTCATCCCAATGAGTTCATCGATTGGCTCCACACAGTGGAACGTGTCTTTGACTTTAAAGACATTCCGGATGATCGCAAGGTCAAGTTAGTTGCCATCAAATTCAAGAAACATGCATCCATTTGGTGGGAAAATTTGAGGCGACAACGTGAACGAGAAGGTCGTAACAAGATTCGCACATGGGATAAAATGAAACGCGAACTTAAGCGTAAATTTTTACCCAGTCACTATCGTCAAGATATGTTTCTTAAGTTTCATCACCTGGAACAAGGAAACAAATCGGTGGCCGAGTATGTTGCTGAATTTGAAGAGTTATCAATGAAGTGTGACAATACTGAGCCGGAAGAACAAACCATTGCAAGGTTTTTAACGGGCTTAGATCTGAAAGTTTCTAAAGTCGTACAACTCCAACAATATTGGTCATTCAATGACGTCACCAAGCTTGCTTTGAAGGTTGAAGGTCAACAAGCAAAGGAGAAGACGAGTTTCAAGTTTGTCCCTAAGGAGGCTTACTGTGGAAATACTCCCATCAAGTTTCCACCAATGGCCAACCCTAGCACAACAACAAAGAAGTTCGAAAGTTCAACCCCAACAAGCAAATTTCCGAGATAAAGTAACAATCCTACTCCCAGAAGATGTTTTAAATGTCAAGGAATCGGACACATTGCCTCGGAATGTCCAAACTCAAGGATAATCTCTCTTGTTGAGGGGGAATTGTTAGAAGAAGAAAACGTTGAAGATAACCATGAGGATGACGAGGATCAAGAGATCTTGCATGCTGACGAGGGTGAATCGTTAGTTGTACGTCGTCTCCTTAATGTGGCTCCAATCAAAGAAGATGAGTGGCTACGCAACAATATCTTCCACACCAGATGTACATCTCATGGAAAGATATGTGATGTCATCATTGATAGTGGCAGTTGTGAGAATGTAATGGCTACCATGGTCGAAAAATTGAAGTTGCCTACGAAGGATCACCCTCATCCTTACAAGCTCACATGGTTGAAGAACGGGAATGATGTCAAGGTGTCTAAAAGATGTCTTGTTGATTTCTCGATCGGGAAGAAATACCAAGACAAGGTATGGTGTGATGTCATTCCTATGGACGCTTGTCATCTGCTTCTGGGTCTCCCATGGCAGTATGATCGTCGTGCAAATCATGATGGCTTTAAGAATACATATTCCTTTGAAAAGGATGGTGTTAAAATTGTTTTAGCACCATTAAAGAGGGAATTGTTGGCAAAGCCTAGCCCAGAGAAGAACTTCATCGTGTCAGAATCAATGTTTACCACGACGATTGAAGAATCAACAATTGGTTGTGTTCTAGTCATGCTCGAGGAAAACAAGGAAGATTAAGGAATACCGATCGAGATCCAGCCTCTACTCCATGGATTCAACGACATTGTGCTTGAAGAAATCCCTGACGGCTTACCTCTAATGAGAGACATACAACATTGCATTGACTTTGCTCCTGGCGCTGTTATCCCAAACAAGGCTGCTTAACGAATGAGCCCGAAAGAGCATGAAGAGCTTCAACGACAAGTTACTGATCTCATGCAAAAGGGATTGGTACGTGAAAGTGTGAGTCCGTGCTCGGTGCCAGCGCTTCTTGTTCCTAAGAAAGACGGATCATGGCGTATGTGCATTAATAGTCGTGCAGTTAATCGGATCACTATCAAGTATCGTTTTCCCATCCCACGCCTCGATGATCTACTTGATCAATTACACGATGTTGTTGTATTTTCAAAGATTGATCTGCGAAGTGGATATCATCAAATTCGAATGCGACCTGGAGATGAATGGAAGACTGCTTTTAAGACTAGAGATGGATTGTATGAGTGGATGGTCATGCCGTTCGGTCTTTCCAATGCTCCAAGCACCTTTATGCGGTTAAGGAATCAGGTATTCCGCCCTTTCATTGGCAAATTCGTAGTCGTTTACTTTGATGACATCCTTATATACAGTCAAAATTCTGAAGATCATATGGAGCACTTGCAACAAATCTTTCAAGTTCTTCGTGAACAAAAATTGTATGCCAATCTGAAGAAATGTCACTTTCTCACCAACAAAGTGGTATTTCTTGGATATGTTTTTTCTAGCAACGGAATCGAGATGGATCCTAGCAAAGTCGAAGCCATCAACACCTGGCCGATTCCTCAATCAATACATGATGTTCACAGTTTTCATGGTCTAGCATCATTCTACCGCCGATTTATCAAGAATTTCAGCACTATTGTCGCCCCGCTCACTGAAGTATTGAAAAGGGAGAAGTTTGAGTGGACCCAAGCTGCTCAACTAAGTTTTGAGAAATTGAAGATCATGATCACTCATGCACCAATCCTTGCCTTACCAGATTTTGATAAGCTGTTTGAAGTAGATTGTGATGCCTCGGGAGTCGGGAGTAGGCATAGGTGCAGTACTCAGCCAAGAAGGAAAACCGATTGCCTTCTTTAGTGAGAAACTTAATGAATCAAGGCACAAGTACTTAACATACGAAAAAGAATTCTATGCAATAGTACGAGCCTTAGATCATGGGAGCCACTATCTTTTGGCTAAGGAGTTCGTTCTTTACTCTGATCACGAGTCACTGAAGCATTTTCACAGTCAACAAAAACTCCAACAACGCCATGCGAGATGGAGTGAATTCTTATCTCCTTTTCACTTCGTACTCAAGCACAAATCCGAGAAACAAAACAAGGTCGCTGATGCTTTAAGTAGAAGACATGCTTTACTTTCCACACTCCAAGTCAAGGTCATTGGTTTCGAGGTCCTCAAGGATTTATATGAAGATGATGAAGACCTTGGCGAAATTTGGAAGAAATGCGCAGAAGGCCCTCACCGCCAATTTCATCAACAAGAAGGATACTTGTTCAAGGGAAATCAATTGTGCTTGCCTAGATGTTCACTACGCGAGATGGTACTACATGATTGTCATGCTGGTGGTCTTGCTGGCCATTTTGGTTGAGACAAGACATTGGGCATTGTTTCAGAAAGCTTTTATTGGCCACGCATGATTCGTGACATTGATCTGTATGTCAAACGATATCAAGCATGTCATATTGCCAAAGCACGTGGTCAAAATACAGGTCTTTATACGCCACTGCCAGTGCCTGATGCTCCATGGGAAGATGTCAGTATGGATTTTGTTGTTGGGTTACCTCGTACTCAACGCAACAAAGATTCCATAATGGTTGTTGTTGATCGATTCTCGAAAATGGCTCACTTTGTTTCATGTAATAAGACTAACGATGCCACGCAGGTAGCTGATCTTTATTTTCGAGAAATCGTCCGTCTTCACGGAATTCCAAAAACCATCACTTCTGATCGAGATGTCAAATTTATAAGCCACTTCTGGCGAACCCTATGGCGCAAGTTAGGAACACAACTGCAGTTTAGCTCAGCCGCCCATCCCCAAACAGATGGACAAACAGAAGTCGTCAACAGGACTCTTGGGAACATGCTGAGAAGTCTTGTGAGCAAGAATCTGCGACAGTGGGATACATTGCTAGCTCAAGCCGAGTTTGCCTACAATTGTTCACCTAGTCAAACCACTGGTGAAAGTCCTTTCAAGATCGTCTATGGTAAGAATCCAACTACACCAGTTGACCTTGTACCATTACCCTCTCCTGACCACTTTAGCAGTGATGCTGATGAAAGAGCTAAGGAAATCAAGAAGCTACATGAGAAGGTTCGAGCTCAAATCACAAGGAAAAATCAACGTTATCAAGAACAAGCTAACAAGTTTCGTAAACCGGCTTGTTTTAAGGAAGGATATCTGGTTTGGATTCACTTAAGGAAGGAAAGGTTTCCAAGGGGAACACATGGTAAACTCAAGCCTAGAGCCGACGGACCATTCAAGGTGCTAGAAAGGTTTGGAGAAAATGCATATAAAATCGAGCTTCCAGGGGAATACAATGTTTCTGCTACATTCAATGTTGTTGATTTGTCCCCATATTACGAAGATGAGGAAGAACAAAGACTCGAGGTCGAGTCTTCTCCAACAAGGGGAGTTTGACAAGGTTTAACTACTAATAACATACTTCTAGAAACTACATTTATCATCTCATCTAGAAGCAACCTCCCCCATATCAAGCATCCTCCCCAAGCAACCTCCCCCATATCGGCAAAGCAAAAATTCAACCTTGCATTAATTCTAGTAGTTGTAATAGTAGATGAATTAAGGCTATAAATAGCCATTGATGTAAACCATGAATGCTCAAGCCTTTGATAAGAAATACAATTAAACACTTTGAGTGTTCTTAGGTAGAGTGTTATCTCCCTAACCCTTGGTGGTGTCACTGTATCCAAGGTTCCCTCTCAATTGTTCCTAGTGGTGTTTGTGTATCTAGGAATAAGTAGAGCTGTATCGTCGGAGTAGCCGCCCGACGTGGTGAATTGGCTAATTCTATCCGACCCCTACCTAGTACGGTGTCATGGCTTTGAGAGTGGTTCGATATTTGAAGAAGTGTCCGGGACAAGGTATTTTGTTGAGGTCAGATAATGCTTTGAGATTGGAGGGATGGTGTGATTCAGATTGGGCGAGTTGTCCCTTGACTCGTAGATCGTTGACCGGTTGGTTTGTTTTGCCCCTATGTCTTGGAAAACCAAGAAGCAATCAACGTTTTCTCGTAGTTCTGCGGAAGCCGAGTATAGGTCTATGGCGGCTTTGACATGTGAATTAAAACGGTTGAAACAACTAGTTGCTTAGTGACTTAGGTGTGTAGCACAAGCAAGGTATGAATGTGTTTTGTGACAGTCAATCGGTTCTACATATTTAAAATAATTCGTTTTTTCATGAGAGAACAAAACATATTAAAGCGGATTGTCATTTTATTCGAGATGCTATCAAGGAAGGAATAATTCGACCTTTGTATATCTCAACGAAGGTACAATTGGCGGATATCTTTACAAAGGCTTTAGGAAAAGCTCAATTCGAGTTTTTTCTTGACAACATGGGCATTCGAGATCTTCATGCTTCATCTTGAGGGGGGGTGTTAAGATAATAATTAGGAAATATTGTAAATGTCTTTAGTTATCCTAATTATGTTAAGTTTTTATCTTTTCCTAAACTAGTGTGATAGGGTTTAGGAATTGTCATGTACTATATATTGTTGAGAAAGTAATGAGAAATCTTTGAGCCGTTTATATTATTTTATCAGTATATATCCTGTTGGCCTGGAGGCATTATTTATGCTCAAATTTGCAATAACATTGGATATGCTGTTATAATATTAGGAAGATATCAGCAGAGTAATCTAGGTCTTGTTTACTGGAAGGTTGCAACGAAAGTGTTGAGATACCTTTAGGGTACCGAGGATTACATGCTTATGTATAGACAGATAAAATGCTATGGTACCAAGGTATGAATACTTTCATTTAAGTTTTCTCGTGTGCTGCTCAATTGCTTATAGATTTGTTTTTATGCGAACAAACATTGTTTCAATTGTGCTTTTCATCACTCACATGGTTCACTGAAACATATAATAGTCTCTAGAATTGCTTATGTAATGGATGCTTGTAGGTTGCAATTTAGTGTTTGTGATCATATATAATTTCACTTGGGTTTTGGTTATTTGTAGTGCCATTTGATAAAAGGTGTGGTAGAGATATTTGGTAAGGAGAAATTTGAATGGTTTAGTCGTAAGTATAGCCCTTGGCAAAGTTTGTCTAAATGAATGATCGATCACCTAGGCACCCAGTCATTAAAAATTGAAAACTAAAATGAATATCCAAAAGTATATACTATCTCCGTAAAATGTTATGTGCAAGTTTTGTCATTATAGGCCGTTTCACATTATGTGCAAGTTTTCCATTTCTTTCCATTTTAGTAAAAAAAAAGAATAAAATGACATTTATACCCTTACTTTAGAAAATCAGTTTTTTGTAATTAGCCAATAAAACAGAGGGAGTATATAGTTTGCAATAAGTTTGACTTTTTGGGTTATAAGTACATAGTTTGACTACTTCAAAGTTCAAAGTCAAGTACGCTAAGTCGCTAACGTACTCTATTACAATTTACAACATTGTATTCCATTTTTTCTCTCTATTGGTTTTCGTTGATATTGATTATTAAATTGAAGTTTGGAGGACCATTTTAATTTGGGTTTTGCTTAGTTTAAATACTCCGTATGATTTTTGCTTCTATATCAAGAACTTTCCTTTTTTATTTTTTTGGGTTGTATGTAGCTCAAGATGCTGCTCAGAATTTGAGTTTAAGTAAGCTAGCTAGTCCGATTGAAGTGCTGCAAAGAAATTTAGTTTGAGTAACAACCAGATCCTGATCAAAATCCACTGGAAGTTTTGGCAAAGACATATTGCTGAGAATGGTGTACAGGTTAGTGCAAATATCTCCCTCAATTTGGACCGGAACGGTGATCAATTGTGTTTTACAGTATCTAATTAGTAATGATATCAATACGTTATGCATAATCATTGATAATCAAATTCACAATCTAGGGTTTGCTAATTTTATAATCTGATGTTTATCACTGACGGCAGTGGCAATGAACACAGAGGTAGATGGTGCGATTGTCGAAGAGCCGCTGATGAAGATGAACAAAGGTTAAGGCATAGTTGTCGAATTGGTCAGGGCACTGTTGTCGATCCTCCATTGAAGCACCTTCTGAGGTATGATTCTTTTTTTTTTTTTTAATCATCGAACATCTAATTCTCACTCTAAGGTTTATTGCTCATTCGCTCATGCTACTGGTAGCACTGATATGAATAGCCAATCAAGGTATCCTCTACTCTTGAAACCCCAATTTTTTTTTTTTTGTGTAAAACAGTGATCTAAAGAATTATTTACAACGGTAGTTTTCTATTAAATTACTAGGATTATTTTGGGTTGTTGTTTTAGAGTTGCGATTAACTTTTCAATTGTGCAACTCTCAGTTTATGATGAGTTTGTAAGAATACTTGCACTCAATATTGAAATTATATTCATTACCTTTGATATTCTTAGCTTTTATATTGCCCATTTATTCATATATTATTATTATTATTATTATTATTATTATTATTATTATTATTATTATTATTATTATTTGATATAGCTAAGAATTTTGCAAAAATTATTTGAAAATATGAGTGTGTGACTTTAATCACCCATCACCAATGGGGCAACAATGATTATCAAATTCGGATGTATCCCCAAGATTTATCATTGTTTTTACTCTAAAGATGCTTGCAAACTTTCAGGGGTTATATGATTTCTTAATAAAATAAAAATAATATATGATTGTGTCAATAAATTTGATGTTCTGGACAATATTGCTTCTCTGCAATTTCTCTTTTTTTGTATTAGCCTCATAAAATTTGGGCCTTTTCTTTGGGGGGGA